CCGAATAAATGGGCCTGCACTTCGCTTCGCCCACTGCCTTGCTGCTAGGTTCTTATCAGAACTAAAGACTGGTTGAGATCTCTAATGGCTCTCCTGCTCAGTGGCTGGAAACCCTAACATTACCTGTCTGTCAAACCCAAGCCAAAGTTTAACCCAAAAGGCAGCTAGGCGGTGTGTGAAAACCACAATCCATTGGGGGTCGGTGTTCAGTTAATCGGATCATTTGCCTTTTGGACGGGGTCAAATGTCCAAGGTGCCCAATGCACTTGAATACCTAATCGAGCCGGTGACCACCGCCACTACCACGTTGGTGTAGATGGATGTGTTTCGTGCGCCTCTTCTTGTTTGCTCTGGGATCGTGGTTTTTAGCCAACTTCCCTAAGTGGATAGCCAGTGGTTAATCGGCCTGGTTAAAACCCTGGATGTGAGCTTTTCGACCTTTCATTTCGGTTGGGAAAACACCTCCGCCCCACGGGAAGGCAGTGATTAGGGCCTCCTCAGCAGAGGCAGGCTATTCGAGACGCTTGGTCGTATGGGAGGGGTATTTCTCGAGGTACAAGGTGAGGGGTGATCAACCACGACCCGAAACACCCACCCCGACCATACTGGGGCTTTTGGAGGCTATTCCGCACAGAGAAAATAGTAAAGAGAACCGTAGGAACATGTAATGCGCGTCAGTAGTGAGTTAAATAAAACTAGAAAATCCATCCGTATGTAAATTTAGCGTTTCCCCCATCAAAGGAGTTTTAACGATTCATACGAAAAATGTGATCATTGATAAGTTGAGACTTTCAGCGGTTGGAAAATGGAAGCTATCGAGTCATGATAATTGACGATGGTGTGTGATCGATGCATCTCCAACACTATAAATATGTATATATCGATCGTAATAATTGTTCATTTCTCCTTCTATTGACACGCCGATCATCCTTGTTTTTTCATCAACTGAGGCTTGGATCACTACCCCTAGGTGCCGATCAAGTGCTTTAAACCGTTTCATCTCTGGTGCACACGATTCCTTGAGACTATCAACACGCACCCATTCAACACCGACAACCTATTTCCTCAATAAAGCCTTATGGTGTTCAGCTCATGCCTTATTATGTCAGTTCCATGACTGCACGATGAGATGTATCCCTTTGAAGCTGTGCCTTAGGAAAAAGCCATATCACTATTCCATTTCGTTCCTCTCCTACCCTGCGTTTGTCCTGCCAAATGTATTCCACGTATTCGAACAATTAGTTCGGAATAAAACGAGCACCAAGTCATGTAAACTGAAAGTACATCATTCTGTTCAGGATGACTTTTAAAAAACATCACCGATATTACTCTTCTTTGTTAGGCCGTTTCGATGTGATGTCGCTTTCTGTACTGAAACTGTTTCGTTCGGAAAGTATCAGTTTAGTTCGTGACTTGAAGCCCCCGCCAGTAGTCAGTCTCGAAACGTGATAACTCGATTGGCGATCAGATAAACGTGACCGAGGTCAACTCAAAACATGTGAATCCTGTCGGAATTAGTTAAGGAGCTAGAGGAGGGCTGTCACACTCTGGTAATTCGCTCATTCTGACCTCCCTGTCTCGTGGCGCTGCGTGAATCACATAGTTTTCAGTCTCAGTCTGTTCTAATCATTATCCATGCACTTTCATGTTCTAGTTTTGGTTGCTGTCTATTGACTGACAACACACACACTACCTTGGTAAACATCGTATGCCATGGCAACCTAATTGGTGATATGCGTAAAACACCCAAACCTCCGTAATCTATGGAGATCGACCACTTGCGCCAGTGAGCGACCGCGGTTACCGAAAACTTTGCCCCTAACCCCAGGGTTGCTCGTCCGGTGGTTGCCCAACCGAATTTGTCTAATGCTGCGTAGAGAGCGGTATTCGTACGCCGACAGACTATCTTTATCCTGTTTTAATAATGGCCAAGTTTCTGCGCCATATAGCAGAACTGGTTGAAATACTGCAGCATACATTATGCCCTTCACGGGCAGCCTTTTGTCGCGACGGTGCCGCAGGTGTCTCGAGTTGGCNCACTTCATCCATGGTTCGTCCGCCAGACAAAATAGAGCTACCCGTATTAGTTCTGCAACTAGAGTGAGATCGGGAGCTGGATCGACCGAGTATTATAGCAACGCTTTACACTTTGAAGATACAAAATACATCCCGGATATAGATAGCTACTCTAGCACTCAAACTGTACAGAAATATTTTCATCTCACCTTAATCCTTACCTAGCGGTACAATGCCATCAGCATATTCCAGATCAGTCATTCTGCTGCCTGGGAGCAAATCAACACGGTTATGGTCGCATGAAGACATGACTGTTTCCATTCTGGATCTGTACTCGAAAATGTTCTACTCCTAGAACAGTAACTTTGCCAAAGCAGCTTATTGACCAAGTGTGTAGACATTAAATAAAGTTAATTTAAAGAGGGCTTTGGTGTCAGTAATTGGATAATTTCTGATTGATTAATCCTACAGACATAAAGCTAACTTATTTCTAATAGTTTGCGTAAACAGGATCCATCTCCTAAGGTTCAGAAGTGAGAGGACGAACGAGAAAGGTGGGAAAGAGGTTTATCCAAATGGATGCCCAGGACTTTAGAGCACATATTTCGTGATAGCCCATACCGACGAATGAGTTTTTCTTTGGGAACCCTGACCGGAGCTTTCGACTCAAAACTCTGGTCGACAAGACAGTGACGCGTAGATCAAGCGCGGTAGCGTGACTGAAGCACCCATGTGGGAGCTTCTAAAGACGTGTTACGCAAAGCCTTTGAGTTTCAATGCAATGTGTTCGGGACTGGTTGTTTGCCTCATGCACCCAATGAGACAGGCGGAACGTGGCCGGGACAGCACTTTATTGGCTGGGGCAACATATGCCAATCGGAGGCGAGCTCAGCTCAAATCGATTCCCATTCCTGAATTCAGCAAAAACGTCTGTCTGGTTTGAGAGTAAATCACAATTCCGATTGTCCAGTGAAGCGACGGTTGCAATCTGGGCATGGTTAGGCCTGTGTTGCATTATCTCACAATTTCTGTGATTGAACGATGTCAGACTCGGTGGATTAGTCGAAGTACTTTCGTTTTCGAAGTTCCGAGATGTATTTAAGAGATCTGGATAAAAGGATTGAATTTCCCGACCTCATTACACATTATGCCGTTAAACTGATGCCTACTATACGAGCTTGTTTCTGTATGCATAGCCAAACCTCCGGTTATTAATTCTCTAAGGAATTTCCCCTGCGTCGGCCTGGACAGCCTAGCAGTATCGCGCCCTCGACAAAATCATGGACCTTTTTTTTCGTTTTATAAAGATTATTGTGCCGTGATTTGTTTGGCACACAGTCTGAACTCGACGTGTGAAAATATACCAATATAAGTAGCCTACAATATGGAACCGTGATAGCGAGGCGTGGGCTGGTTGAATTAGCCCATTAGAAATAAATTTCATCGATCCCGCCTAGTCATATTCGATTTCCTGCTGTGATGATACCCGGTGTAGTTGGATTTGAATGCATACAAAACTTAACAAAGTTCGCATATTTATCGCATATTCAAACCAAGGCTGAGAGGAGCCCGGATCACCTTAAATTTGACAACTTTCAAACCTAATTGAACATTTTTCATATATCACTTAATCCTAATGTACACCAAATAGTTATTGATTTTCATCATCAACAAAGCATCTCGTGCACCGTTTGTAGTCATCCTCATAGTTGTGTCTCAACACGCATACTTTTTCACAAGCCAGTTTTGTTTTCCGATCGTGCTCTCTGCACGATCCGTTGGGGTCCTGTAGTCGTCTAATCTATCCGCTCTGCTCTACTTATTTTCGCCGCGACAAAACACAAACAGTTCTGTGCCCAGTGGCCTCGGCTCAAAGAACAAACCCGTCACAGATTTCGCACGAAAAGACGCGGGAGACGCAGTCCCAAAAGCGGATATTGAGTCGGATCATTTGACCAGCCATTTGCTCGGTGGTTGTATTCGATGCCTGGCGGCGGGAGTTACCCACTCTGTGAGTTTACGCTACGCGATTGGTGACGATCGACGCCGAGTTCGACGTTTGGCACGGATGCTACGTGCCAAAATTCCCAGTACCCCCGCTGTATCGTCCACATCCACAAGCAATGTGTTCAGTGCTCCCACCGAGCCACGGGATGAAGTTCTGGCTGGAAACGCATGTCTGATTTTACAACACTGTACAGATGACACACCCCTGGCCGAACACTTACAGGGCACCTCCGTCATTCTGGATTTGCTCAAACTGATACAAGTGAGTAGTATCCATCGTTTGACTGCACAACATCGTGTGATAAACAATGGTCACATTGACCGCCATTGTTCATTCGTGATATCCGACTACCTGAGCGTGTCGTGGAGCCCCGACGACATTGAAATTGCCTACCACCAACCTGTCTGCCTATAGCAGGATTTAAACCTCGGATTCTAGGTCCCAAATTATAGCAGTGACTGATCATCAACTGAACATGCGTTTTGTTTTTCATTCTTTGATATACGGTCTCAACGTGGCCATAGTTTGGATTAAATAACGGTCTATCACCTCCGGTTAAGATAAGTCATGTTGCATCCTACACAAAACGTACAGTCCCTTTTCTCTACACACACATATTTACATATTGGAATGGAATCCAGAAGTTAATTGTTCATACCTGTTCCGGAATTTGTGTATGTGGCTAGGTATTGGAACAGAATAAGGCACGGCATTTTTGTAGTACACTTGATCACTCGGATGTCTG